AGTCTAGGTTTTATACTCCTATGACCTAGATATAGTCAAAGAGATCATACAGACTGTTCCTAGGGAGAAAGAGACCTCAACTCAACTGTTCAGCCAACTCTTTGGCTTACAAACCACTCTTACAAGAGAATATTGAAACAGACACAAAAAGAGGTTTAACTGAATAACCTTAAACAGATCTAAACTCAGAGAAAAGTAGTGACACATTGTTTCTCCCTTCCATTACTTGCTGCTGTTCTCTCAAGTTAGCTCTCTGAATTCCCATAAGGAAATATCACTTTTCCAAGAAGAATAAGGAGAAGAGGAAGAAAAGAGGAGGAGGAGGAGGAGGAGGAGGAGGACGAGGAGGAGGAGGACGAGGAGGAGGAAACAAGCCATATTTTCCTGTACAGTTAATGGTTGATAGAGAGGACAGGAGAGAGAAAAGTGCCAGAAAAGTCATGGTGCTTTTCCATTGTTGTATGCAATCTAAGAAATATCTCCAGGTTGCATAGATTGAAGATTTGTAATGAAAAAGGTTCCAAATCCTTGTGCTTAGCTGTAGTCTACAAAATATTTCTGCTACGAAGACAGCATGTTGTCAACTCTAGCTTGCAAGCTGTATTAAATAATGAATGATGTAAATTAGACTGTCTTATTTATTAACAAGTCCAGTGTGGCTTATGTAACCACACTCAAAATATAAATGCATGGTTCTTAAATGCATAAAAAGCACAACCCAAAGTTCTAGAAGCCCCAAAGGAGGAGCTGAGAAGTAAATAGCAGAGTAATAAAAACTGATGCCTTCCACTGAATCCTACTGAATGCCAAGTTCTGTTTTTAAGTATGATTAATTGCAATGGCAAAGCTTATTAAGGTGAGAGGTCCAAAATCAATGTATTAATGACATAATATTACAGCTGCTTAAACAAGCCAACAATAAATTGCATATAGATGCTCTGACAATACAAGCTGCAGATTCTGCTTATGTTAAACTGAGGGAAAAAATATTAGACTTGTTTCTCATTATTTTTCTTTGTTCTGTGTCTTGATCTCAGGACCTGGGTGATGTCCCTTAGCTTTTTGTCTTGAGGCTGGTGCTCCAACATTTGAGCTCTACCTCCATTTCCAGCTTTTGATGGTTAATTGGAGATAAGAATCTCGTGGACTTCTCAACCAGGGCTGGCTTCAAACTGAGATCCTCAGATCTCAGTCTCCTGAGTAGCTAGGATTACAAGCATGGGTTACTGATACGGCTTCTTGAGACTAATACTCAAGAAACTCTGAACAAAACCCCCACTGGCCTTCATAAAACATGTGCTTTCTAAAAGTACCTGTCCTTACACACACACACACACACACACACACACACACACACACACACACACAGAAAGAGAGAAAAAAAAGAGGGAGTATGGTTTATGGATATTCATATGTATATATGGATGTACTTAACACACTGTATACTGGAAAATGGTTAAGATACTAACTTTGATGTTATGTGTATTTTTAGCACAGTGAAAACATAGCCCATAACCCATTTTAACTGTGCATTTTTCATACTTGGTAGGACAGATATAGTTTGGTACTGATACAATAGAGACCTAAATAGTCAGTTGGATAATTCTAACAATAGACTTTAATGTTGAGTCCCAATTTTATATGACATTGGTATTTTTTTGTTTTTGTTTTTGTTTTTGTCAATCATGGCACTTGAACTCAGGGCCTGGGTGCTGTCCCTAAGGGTTTTGTTTTTTGTTTTGTTTTATTGTTTTTGTTTTGCTCATTATACCACTTTGAGTTTTGGTTACTTGGAGGTAAGAGTCTCAGGGACTTTTCTGCCCAGGCTGGCTTTGAACCACAATCCACATAACTCAGCCTCATGAGTAGCTTGGATTACAGGCATGAGCTACCAGCACCCAGTTATATTGGTATTATTTTAAAGCTTAACTTAGCACAACTGTGAGTTAAGCATTGTCAATATCAGGAGCTTCCACTCAGCGCTGAGTATGGATTACAGGCAGAGTATGGATTACTATGTAGAGAAATAGAGATATAACATAGCAGCTTAGTAGGTAAACAATATAAGACTGGTATTGGGACAGAATAGTTTTTATTAAAATAAGTTGGTGTTAGTTGCTAACACTTGTAATCCTAGCTACTCAGGAACTCAGAAGGCTCAGATACAAATATTGAGGTTCAAAGCCAACCTGAACAGAAAAGCCTTGATCAAAAAAGCTAAGGAAGAGCTCTAGGCCCTGAGTTCAAGCCCTACTATCAGCACAAAAGATAAAGTAAAATCTGTTTGAACAATCACTGGCAATAAAATGTCAGTTGAGCCTGAAATGTGTGCAAACACAAAACTGTCTTACTTTTTGATTAATCTGTGTATATATTTTAAGATATTTTACACTGGCTATCTCTGAACTCTAAGGGCAAAATGGCTTAATATAAAGATGCTAAAAGATACACAATTTTTAGTGATAAATTAAGTAGTAAAATGTGTTGCTTTATCAAACTTTCAATGCAGATTGTTTACACTTATTCCTGATTGTTTTTTTTTTTTTTGAAAAAAAAAATGTAACTTCAGCCACACATCAAGTAGATTAAAATTTCAAGACAGGTTATTTTAGGAATACCATTGGATTTAATAACAAAGTTTTAAAAATGCCTAGTTTGGTTCCAACTGTAGCTGGTATCCACTGGCCAAGAATTTCAAAGCTGTTCAAGCAAATATTAATATGTAAGAAGGAGAGCACAGATGGTGTCGTAGAGTGAAACAAATTCATCCACGGATGTCATTTTGAGATCAAAAAGGCAGAATGAAAAATAAGTATGAGGTGCCTTCCAAACAAGTATTGCGATACATTTCACCTGGGCACTGATGGGCAAGGTTGAAACACAGCTGAAGGACAGAATACACAAACATACCTTTTCCCATTCCTCAATCTTCTCCCCCAGACTAATATTATTAACCTAATTGAATGCATCTTAAGCACTCTGTCCCACATACCTCTCAGCTCCTCCAGTACCAATGTGTTTTTAAACCAGGAGAAAAAAAAAAAAAAAGAGCAAAACCCTAGAATGTTGTAAATGAATGATCATGACAAATGCTTTTAGTCAACATTTCAAAAACCCATCTCAAAAAAATGGAAGATAGAAACCTGCCATTAGATATTAAAGAAAAGAAACAATTGTGAGAACAGATAGAAGAAAGCTCTGCTGAAATCTATTCATTTCATTAAAGACCCGGAAGGTTAGATTAAGGTAACTTTTTAATTTAAAGATAATTTTGTTGCTTTCTTTTCTCAGCTGTTAGCCTCAAAAATATTAAAGTGAAAAGGCATTAGCGATAGCTCATCTCTCTCTTTACTATAGGTCTATAATTTAAGACAGACTTTAAAAGCAATCACAAAGGAAAAAGCCCCAATACTGAACTGTATAAATACACCCTTCACGGCATCTAAGCAGCCCTGAAGGATTCTGAATTCCATATGGCCTCCTCCATCTGACTACTGGCATCCATCTCATGAAAAAGACTGACTCTTCAGACCAGCCTGTGAGAGCACCAACCAGCCCAGCCTGAGGCTGGTATGGGTAGTGCCCTACCCACCCTCCTCTCCTGCCCGAGGTGCTGCTCTCTCCTTGCCAAAAAGATTGAGACTTTGGCATTCCAGACTCAGCCCCATGGTTGGCTGCTCCCAGCAGATCCTGCTATGCCAGGCCTGCTATCCCCCTCCAACTCTGTTGTCATTTCCTTCTGCCCAAGCCTTACAATGTGAGCATCACCAGCAGAACAGGCAACAGAGACCAGGAAGGTCTCTTACTTACATTAAAAACAGGTTATCTTCATCAACTACGTTGGCAGAAACATGGTTGAGCATTTTCTCTGTGGGGGGAGGGAATGCATGCGCACTCGCCAACCGGAAGGCCACAGCCCAAGCCCTACTTTCAAGGCTGTCTATCTATCTCAGTGTCAAACATTGTAAAGAAAATCCGGGAAAAGTTTGTCTCACAATCCCTTTGTGCAAATGAATAAGGCCTCATGTTTATGAAATATAGGAAATAGCCACGTCCCTAAGAAAGGAAAAAAATGATAGCAGAGGTGATGTAGGAATTCTAGACTGAGAACTGGTGAATCCTTGCTTGGCAATGTAATTGCCACAAGTTATCTGAAGGGAAGAAAGAAATACATCGTTTTGCCTCTCCACCAAGTCAGGACACTCTATATCATTCCTGGGGACTTAAAGGTCCCAGTCTAAAGCTAGCATGCATCAGAGTACTACACCATCCTGCCTAGCCCCAGGAAATTATTCAATGGGTAATTAAGATTTATAATCCAAATGGTCTCCAAATCATATCTCTGGGAAGTCAAGTCCAAATTAAATCAGAGCAGGCTTTTAGGCTTCCAACGATCACATTTTCTCTTTTGAGCAAGTGCATTTCAACACTCAGAACTTCTCCTCTTACAGATCATTTTCAAGGCCATCTCTAGATGCAATCTCCTAAGCAAAAATCTGATAGAGGAAATGAAATGGGAAATTGGTTAACTCCAAGCCTTAGAGAAAGATGTTTAAGGGAGAGACTCTTAACTTCCTTCAACAGATTGCTGAAAGTTAATTATTTTAACCTCCTTGCTAGTAAACACGACTGTAGCTTCTCCTGACACAGCATTTCACAAAACAAAAATGTCCAAAACTGTTACTGCATATGAAAAGGTTAAAGCACACCTATCAGAACTTTGAAATATAAAATGTATCAAGAATTTCTCTCTCAAAGGAAAAGATGCATATATTTATATATTTCGCCTATTGTACTTATTTTGAAGTGCATTCCATCTTCCTGCCTTAGCAGCCTCAAGACAGTGAAAACACACAGGTAAGTGGCAGATGGCTCCTCCTGTATTTCTGGTGTCTGACTTCTTCCCACACTTGAGACAGACAGCATGCACATCCAGAAACTACCACCTGGTCAGCCTGAGCCCCAAGATCCAGAAGAGAAAGAGGGCACAAGGCACTCACATTTCGGTGATGTTCTCAGGGTCTGCACTGTTCATCTCCAACCTCGGGAAAGCCACGATGCCAGGAGAAGGGTCGTTGCACCAAATCCGAGAAACACTGCATTTACAAGACACTGGGCAAGCGAGAGCTGCCCTCCAGAAGCCCAAAAGCAGCCAGCAGAAGCCCCAGAGCCTTGCCATGGCGGGTGCATGCCACCTCATCCAGGACGACATCCCTAGCCGCCAGTGCCAGGCGGAGTGCGTGTTCCCGCGCTGCAGCCGCCGGCTTCCCCCGCCCGGGCGGGGAGGCCTTCCCGGCGCTCTCTGCCCTCTCCGCTCGCTGCGCTTGTCGCAGACGCGCCAAGTCGTGCGTGTCCAAAGCTGAGTGTGTCCGGGAATGAACGTGTTCCAGCGGGTGGCGAGGTTTACAGGGGCCGGGGCATCACGGGCCGCTTCGCAGGGGGCGCTACCGCCGCGCGGAGCTGCACCGACGATGAGGTTGCATGGCCCGGCACGCCTGGCACCGGCCGGCGGCGCTCCCGGGACTCGCGGGGCGCAGACTCCTGGTTACATGCGCAGGGGGATCCGGAACGCTCCTCGGGGCTGAGGATAAATAGACACATATAAGACGAAGCGTAGGATCCTACCTACCTACCACGAATTGGGACTCTGTCCCTCCGCGATTGCCTTACTTCCCCCGCCCCATCCCTGCCACCAGACCCCAACCCGAAGACTGAAGATGGATGGAGCGTCCAGCCCCGGGGCCCAGGGATCCACTTGCCCCGTGATGGCACCGGCGACGCTGGGACTACCAATATGCCCACCCTCTCTCCAAGCCTGAGGCCGAGGGAAGGAAGCTAGGGAAAAGATCCTCGAGATGGGATGCCATGGCACAGGCCGGGCACAGGACGCTTTAAAGGGGAACAGGGAGCCTGCCGGTGTCGGTGCTCTGCGACGGGGGTGGGGGGACCCCAATGATGCTGCAGAATCCACCGCGGCCGCTGGGCGCGGGGGGCGCGGGCAGGTGGCGCGGCACGTCCCACCTGGGAAGCAGCTGTGGCCGCCCCAGGGGCGGAGTGGGGGGGGGGGTGGAATCCGTGAGGGCCCCCCGAGGCGACTGAGGGCACTGCCTGCGCTGCTCACCCAGCCTTCGGCGCCTCAAGCCCGCCGCGGAACCTGGATCCAGGCTCCGGCTGCTGCTAGGCACTGAGCGCAGTGAGCGCAGAGAGAGAGGTGGGGGAGAGGGGGGGGGAGAGGGGGAGAAGAGGAGAGGAGAGGGGGGCGAGAGAGAGAGAGAGAGAGAGAGAGAGAGAGAGAGAGAGAGAGAGAGAGAGAGAGAGAGAGAGAGAGAGAGAGAGAAGCAGCCGTGAGGCTCGGGCTCCAACCCAATTCCGGGAGCGGCCGCCGCCGCCGCCGCCGCCGCCGCCGCCTCTGCTACTGCTGGCGAAGTGACGTGAGGGCTGACGCAGAGCAGGGGCAGAAACTCCAGAAAATTAGTCTGAAATCCAAAAACACACACACACGCTCACAGGCACACACACACACATACACACACATACATAAACACCCTCCAGACAAAAGCAACGGGGAGGGCAGGGAATCGGGGTGAGCGGGGAGGGGGAAGCGTGGGGGGGGGTGGGGGGAGGCTTCGATGCGATTCCACTGGCCAGAAGCACAGCAGCAGCTAGTGGGAGTTCACACGCGCGCGCGCGCACACGCACACACACGCACGCACACATCTCGGCAGTGTAGACAGGAGCGTGCATGCGTGCATGCATGCGTGTGTGTGTGTGTGTGTGTGTGTGTGTGTGTGTGTGCATGCAGGAGCGCATTTCGATCCAGATACCTCTGAGATGGCCCGTTGTGCTGCGCGACGCCTCCCCAGCTCCCTAATCCACACCGCAGGTCTCTTCAATCATCGCCATGGAGAGATTTGTTTCCCTTTTGGAAATGGAAACCCCGGCTTGGTTCAGCTCTGCAAATAAACAACAACAAAAAAAAGCCTTGATTCTTATTATAGGAATCCTCCCCCATTGCGTTCCCGACGAGCTACCCTTCCCCCACCCCAAATAAATGAATAAATAAACAACGTAAACACCAAAACGTGCTGGGTGTTGGTAAGCAAGCATGCATCACTGCCCCCACCCCACCCCCATTCCGGACCACCCATTTGGGGATCTCTGGCATGGAGGGGGCTTCTTGATGGGTGCTTTTGCAGAAGGAGATGAGTCTCCAAACACAACTCTGGCTTTCAGGGTCTTTTCCCTGCCGTTTTCGCTCTCCATACGCCGGGGAAAACAGAGGCGCGTGAGGGCGAGGGAGCGCGCCTGACGCGTAGTGGGCTCTGTCTCCGCGCAGCAGCCACCCGGGCCTGTCCGATGTGTGGCGCCGCATCCTTTTTTTCTCTTTCGGTAACCTGACAGGATGCAGCCATTCCCAAATCACAGCTTTGTTCCCCGCGATTGCCTCCCCGCCATGGGGGGGGGGTACCCCGAGCCCTAGCTCCCCTGCCGTACCTTGCGCACAGGCGAGTGTGCACGGGGGGTGTGCGCCAACGCGTGCCCTGCGCCCGTGCTGCCCGGAGCACCGTACGCATCCAGCTACAGAGAAGACTGGCGTGGGCAGAGGAGCCTCCGGGTCTCACTAGGGACAGATGAAACGACCCAGGAGAGTCGGGTGACAAACCGTAGCCGCTCGGCGGGTGCAGTTAAATGATGGCTGCGGGCCATTCGCAAGCCGTATCTGAGAATTCTTCTTCCCATTTGTGGCTCGGAGAATCTGGTTCCCCCCCCCCGCCCGCCGCCCCCCGCAGTCATTAAAAAGGGTACTGGGAAAATGCTCCGCAGTGCCTGACACTTCCGAGGGCTCTGGTGCCCCCGCGCGGGGAGACAGCGCCCGGCACGCTTGGGAGCACCAGCTCACCGCCACAGTTGTGGCGGGCACTGCGCTGGGGGCGCGCTTTAGTGCCAGATGCGCAACCAGAGGCGCGCGCATCCCTGCCAGATGGGTGCTGTGCTCCTCTGACCGGTCGCGATCTAGCGATCCTAGGTGACCCTGACAGCTGGTTGCTAGAACCTAGTGCAGAAACAGAATGGTCACCCAGTCAGCCTTCAGAGGCTGAGGATTAGGGAAGACAGAGAAACCAAATGTCAAAGTGTATACTCTGTTACCAACACCTTAAACAGTACAAGGGAACAGCAAACATCTAATGGGGTCTTTGTATAAGATTCTAAGAATCCTGAGGAAGGATTCACAAATCTCACTCACAATTCTTGCTGGCAGGCGAGGAAGACAAAGCCAGCAGGTCGGTTTAGCCATCTGGATTGTGATTCACACTGGAAGAGTGGACTGAAGTTTCTCAGTTGGAACCTCACTTTAAGCCAGGTGAAAACGTGCCAAGGAAGAAAAGCTAAGGGCAAAAATGTCTTGGTCCACACACAGCAAAACTCAACATGTCTTAAACAATAATCAAGGCCCACATTTTTTCCTACCTCACCCGCACTGCATTTTTTTTCCTAAAACAGGAAGGATCTATCTTCCATTCATGCTGTAACTCAAAAATACCATGAACAGTATTAGCATGCTTTTGTTTCACAGAACTGTAGATCTAGCTCAACTTGAAGCCCTACAAGCTATTTCCCAGAGATCATTCCAGGGAGTCTCAGGCTGTGTCTCAGGCTGTGGCCTTTTGGGAGATGATGAACATTTTTTCAGATAGAGAATATGAAATAGAAATGTTACCTCCAAGTTCCTTCAATGCAAGGATGGAGACTAAGTGTTACAGTTTCCTGCCTCCACTGGACCATGACATACCTAGTTAAAAATAGTGTTTCTGAAACTACTTTGACCATGATACAGGGCAGAATGCCTTTTATATCATAACACAATGCACATATACACGAATGTATGTAACTTTTTTAACGTCGCTAAGATATACCTTAACTATCCTTACTACATACCAGGTAGTAATATTTTTTTCTCTTTTACACTATTTTATTTGAATATTTATGATAACTTACTCAATAAATTAATTCTTAATCTTAATATCTACTTGTAAAAAATAACAAAATACTACCAACTTCTGCTTATGGCTAAAGTAGAGTAACAGGGAACACAAACAGAGTGAAGAAATATGTGAAACAACAGTGTTTAAGACAAAAGACATCAACCAAGACCATGGCTCAGAATGGGAACCCAGACAGAACCCAACTCCCAAAGTTGAAGGGACATCTCTGAGAGTCAAGAGAAACCCAAGAAAGCACAGTTACAGTTCAGAGTTGGGAGAAGCATGGAATAGAGAGAGAATCTTAGATCAATAACACAGCATGTGCTGATTAGCACCAGCCAGTGTGTGAAGCTACCTGAAGCCGAGGAAAGAAGCACCAAAAAGATTCAAAGGAATGTGTCAGAGAAAAAAACATCAAAGGAAAATTGAAAACAAGATGTATTAGAACTTATAGGATACCCCTAAACTAGCACTTAGGAAGAATTTGAAAGCATTAAACCATATTAGAAACCAACAATGGTCCCTAACCAATGAACTCAGCTAAAGAAACATGGAAAGAACTACAAATGAAACATGGAGTGAGTAATAAAGAGGAAGTAATTCAGGACTAAGTGAAAAATGAAAAAAAGACTAAAATCATACAGAAAATTGTTAGGTTTTTCAAAAGAGGTGGCCGAGTAAGAACAGCAGCACACACATGGTATTCAGGTAAGGAATAGGTTTATTCATCGTTCTGGCTGGCACCAGGCCATCTTGGTCCTCCACACCGTGGGGAAAGGCCTGGGAAAGAGAGCTGGGAGAGCTGGGAAAGAGAGAGAGCTGGGAAAGAGAGAGAGCTGGGAAAGAGGGGAAAAAGCTAGAAAAGAGCTAGAAAAGACGTCTGGGAAAGGTGGGAAAGAGTTGAGAAAGAGCTAGAAAAGAGCAGAGAGACCGCGTCTGGGCCTGGGCTAGGCCTTATCTAGAATATGGGCGGAGAAAGGTGTGGCCACATCAAATTCAAATGTGACCTCAGTGGATGCAGATGTGACCTCTTCCAGGTGTCCCAGTTGCCTAGGTAACGCAGGTACTGGGTGGAGACTTTGCTGGGAGGAAGGTGGAGTCTGCTAGCCATCCAGGGGACCTTACAAAAACCAACAAGAATTTATTCCTGGAGACTAATAAAATTGATAAATATTGACAAAGATCTACTTTGACTGATCAAGAATAAAAAGAGAGAAGACTCAAGTTTCTAACAGAGAGAATGAAAGAAATGTCAAACATTATTCCATAAATATTATCACAAAAATAAAGGTATGCTGTAAACAACCTTATGCAA